GACAGGCGCATAGTTTATTGGCAGTGCCTTAGAGCGCTTGATGCGCATTTCCTCAATCAGCTTCAGTTTCAGAGGCAACGACAACGTCCTGCAACTGTAAACAGTTAAACAAGTTACGCTCGCGCAGGCAACATCAGCAGCAGCAGCGGTCAGGTGGAGTCAGGTGGAGTCAGGTGCAGTCGGGAGCAGCCAGCAGTCAGTTTTAGTTAGGACCCGGCTGCGGATATTGCTGAAGTGCAGCCAGAAAGCCCTGCTGCACTGTGTGGCAAATCCGTGAACTCTGAACAATTTATGGATTTTGCAGAAAAGCTTTCAATATAGTTTTCTATAGTTAAGAATAACAATTACCATGCATTTATACACATATGAATGTATAAGAGAGTAGACACATTTGTCAATTTATGTTTTTAATGTGCTTAAAAGGCAGCATGTGTATAAGTGCTCAATGGAGCTTAATACTAATCAATATAATAGTCTTAACTAAAATGTTGTGCATGGAAGGCATATGTGCTAAGCTTGATCAAATTAATTAATTTATGATGCAATGAAATATGCCGAAATATTATACTCTTATGTTTTTGGGAAATCTCTGTTTCAGCTATTTTAGCTTTATTCGCACGATGATGTAATAAGCTGTTGGCTATATTATTATGTAGAGTTTAGCAAACTAATCTAAGTGCTTGGAATAATTAAGGTAAGATATAATTCATATATAACAATTGAGATGGTTTATTAGCTCGATAATGTGAGATAAACAAATAAATTTTGCTAAAAGCTGACACATGCTTACAATTTCAATTAGAGCTTAACCTAGCTCATCTTTAAAAGCAGCCTTAATAAAATTAAAAATGATGAAAGATATTAATAAAAATTATGGTTATAATTGAATTAATTAAATATAATAATAAAATTTAAAATAGATATATTAATTATTAACCTCTAAGAAAAATAAAAATAAAAATCTTAGTTAATTGGCTGTAATATTAATGATAATAAGTATAAGTAATACAAATACCTTTGTTGACTGTTTAAATCATTTTTGGAATATGCTAACAAAGGTATGTATTAAATGTACTTGGATATGTAATCATGGACATGATGTCACTGTGGCGGTTGTGGCCATGTTAATGCTATTACTGCCACTGCCAGTGCTACTGCCACTGCCACGGCTGCTGTCTCAGGCAATGTGTGCTTAACCGCTTCATATATAGTAAATTCATTTTCTCAATTGGCTCCCGTCCATTTCGATATCGTTGTACTTATCGTTGTCATCGTTGCGATGTACCATATTTTATTTGTGTTTGTTTATTTATTTGTACTCTCGTATGTGTAAATATTTTATTCTCCTTTCATTTTTATTATATTTGTTTGACTGGCCGGCTCATTTCGACGCGCCTGTCCCGCTGTTCCACTGCTTATTGATGCGAAATCCGTTTGACTTGTGCGCCACACAAGAAATCAATACGAATGAGTGTTCAATTCATTCAATTTCTCGCTGCCCAGCTGCCCAGCTGCCCAACTGCCAAATTGCCCAACTGGCCGAGTGTCCTGTTGCCCTTTTTATGACAGCACAGCAAAAATCAAAGCGCAGCACGTGGCGTATGAGTAATGCGGCATTGGCGAATTCAAAACGCAAACGTCGCACCTCCACTCGAGTGTTTGTCAAATCCGATTGCTCCACTATCCAAGTGGCCCACTTTCCCCTCGTCTGCCCCTATGTCTGCCTGCCTTTCCACGTCCGTGTCACTTTATGTATTCAATCAGCTAACAGCGCACAAAAAGTTTAAGTCAGCAGCTCTGGAATTACAAATGCGAGCGGAGAGATTCAAGCTAGCAAAAATTTCATTAATTTTCATTTATACGATAATGGGAAATTCAATTTCCCAAGCTCATCGTCCGACACATTTGCTCCCTCGCTGCCTCCCTGCTCCCCGCTCGTCAGCCAGAAAGGGGTAATGAAAATGACAATGGCAGTGGGAAACGCTAATGGCAGTAAGCACACACACACACACATTCACACTCGCATGCTCGTATGTGAATGCGAGTGCGTGTGTGAATCTAAGTGCGAAGTTCATGGGCATTTTGGCGTCTGCTTGGACAATAATTTTTTTGCCGTTGATTACTTAGCGATATCGAATTGCGCAGAGTTAGTAAAACACACTCCAAAAATTTACCACAGTAAATAGGGTCAATAAAAACTATCTGAGAGCTATTTCAATGTGCCAGCTGCGACAGCTTGGTAAGCGTTTTACATTGTTAAATAGTTCGAGGAAAAAACGACTCGAAAAGGACAAACGCCGAACGAGACGGAGACGGAGACGCCGCAAAAGTGTAAACGGAGCACTTTAATATTCATTCAAGGATAATGCTTATGTCTACAAATTTGTAAAAAAAATATTAACAAATAGCCAATACAATATTATGCCTTTGCACATTTAAATGCTTTGAATATTTATTCAATGCATTTAAAATCTTTTTATAGTTTACTTTGAATTTGCATATTTTACATTTGTTAAAATGATTTATCAAATCTATAAATGGCACATTGATTTTTAATGCGATTGACTCACATTTTATTAAAATAATTTATTGAATTTATTGAAATAATTTATTTTGATGATTCAGTGTTAACTCAATTGCTTCGCAATTTATTATTGAGCAATTAGTAAGCTTTAGCCTCGTATTAATACGAGGGCTTCAAATGACTTCTATGATAGCTTTAAGTAGGTTGGTATGTTAATAAATTATAAAATTAAATAAATATATGCTTGAAAATTGCATAAAATGATTAATTAAAAAGATGTTTTTAATTTATTTAAATGTAAATTCACTATTTATACAAATGATTCAAACTTATCAAATGATTTAATTGCTTTGCATTGTAATTTATTTGTATATCAGTTAATCACTTTAATTATTCAAAGTTTATGAACATATAACAAATGTAATGCTCATTTAATCACAGTGTAATTTAACAAATGACCCGCAATATGCTCTGGTGTGTTTTACACCGTCCACACACTGTCCACACACTGTCCACACACTATTCACACGACTCACACTGTGCACTCATTCATAGTTCTGTGAGTGCTTTTACATGCATGAATGGAATTGACATCGCAGGAAACACCTTTTTAATTTAATGTTTAGTTTTTATTATCGCAACGCGTGCAGAATTTATTAGCTTGCCTCTGACTTTTATGTGCGTCCTGGCCGTTCGGCCACCCGTAGCCCCAGCTCCAGCCCCAGCCCCAGCCCCAGCCCCAGCCCCAGCCCCAGCCCCAGCCCCAGCCCAAGCCTATGTGCCTGCCGTCCCCTAGCCCAGCCTCTTGGCCAGCGTTGCGCAATGAAATTATCTATCGAGGTCGAGATACGCGCCGCCGGAAATCTAGTGAAGGGTGAAGCATTAGCCGCGCTCAAGTCCAGGACCCGGATCGAATGAGATTGGGATGGGGTGCGTCAGCTGCTGGTCAGTGGATGCAGCGGGCAGCGTATCAAGTAAAACCATGAATTATTTATTTGTGTGGACATGAATTATTGTTATGAAGTTTATTGCAAACAAATTGCGTCCTGGGACAGTGGAAATCAATATCAAATAAATAAAAGCGCAAACAGTTTTTGTGGCTTTCACTGAAACAACAGAAACGTGGAGCGATATGCCAACGAAGATATGGTCCGGGCAAGGGAGAAGAGAAACTAATGGAGACAGGGACAGGCACAGGGATAGGGGCATAAGGTACGGAACACAGGGCTCGCGAGAATGGCTGAGTTATATCAGCAGACAACAAAGAGCTGCTCCCTTTACCCCAACCCATACTCAGCTCTATGTATATTTGTGTGTGTGTGTGTGTGTGCGTGTGTAAAGCCATCAACAACATGCACAGGATATAGGGTAACGCTGCGGGCGATTCATGAAATTTAATGAAGCAGGCAAACTAAGTGGGCCGACTGGCGGCTGCCGGAGGATGGTTGAAGCAAGGGGGAGACTTGACTGGTGGGAATCTGCATGGTTGGATAACCCTTGAACAGCTAAAGCGATGGCACTGCCAAACGGATGTGGGATATGTATTTGAAGTTGCCTTTTTAATTAAAATAAATATTTAATTGAAATTATAATTAGGAATTAGTTGCGGGCAATAAGTCAAAAGCACACAACCAACAAACGACGCGCCACAAAGGGTATGATGTCCAGTCAGCCGAATGCCCATTGTTGTTTCATTGCTCTTGTCCTCCGCTGATTGGGATGCTCTGCCTGCTCCCATTATACACTGGCTGATGGACGACAGTGGTGGCCATCGACCAGCGAGTCGCCGCTTGGCGGCAAATCAATTTGTGATTATAAAAGATAAACGCTTGTAGACGCCGCTTCGCTGAGCAGCTGCTGGCTTCTGCTCTTGATGATGATGGAAGTATCTCTTGCACACCCACACACACATTCACACGCTGCTAAGTGGGTGTGGCTGTCGACATACACAGAAAATACGGTATCCGATTTCAATAACATTTAGTGGCAATTTCTTTGGCCGCCGCTTTTAACGACAGCGCATTGCATTAAGAGAGCAGCAGGACTAATGTCCTTGCCATTAAGTGGATAGCTTGTGCTGAGGCGACAGCCACACCTGCTTGCCGATTGTCATGGCAGCGCCAGCAGCGTTTTTGATTGCATAAAAAGAACACACTTACATTTATTTCAGCCGCACACACACATAATCAATATCTAATGCAAAAGGGATGCGCATTAAATAAATGAACGAAAGCTCGTCTCGATTTACACAAATCCCTACTTCTTGTAGCTTTAAGACAGCTCATTTACTGACGCTTTTTTATATATCGTCGTATAGTCAAGCATTAGTTTTACATTGGAGCACGACTGGAAGATGTTTAGTAGGCAGGTCTAAGGGATTATCAAAAGATTTTTGTTTGCAGGCAACAACTGAATATTGATATCGATCAATAATATAATAATAATAATAATATATTTATATATGTATATTCACATTAAGCACATCTCTTTCAAACTAAGCCCACTTAATTTCCTCAGGATGTTTAAGCTATTTTAAATTCGATGTTTTAGCTATATTAGTCGAAAGAAAATGGTTTTATTTACCTGGAAATGTTGTTGGCACGACGCTGCACTGTGCTAGTCTTGGCAACCTGCGAATGGCAAAATGAAAGGAGAATGCATGGAAATCAATTATAGAGTTTTCAGTTGGGTGTTTATTCTAAGATGAATGTAAATTGTGTACAACAATAATGCGTGCAGTTGAGCTGCACTGCGAAAGCGAGGGAAATGCTAAGTGGCTTTTCCGTTGAGATGCTCGCATTGCATGTAAGGCACAAGGATAACGAGACAGGATTACGCTGATGAATGCCACTGCCGCATCACTTCCGGGGGTCGGGACGTGGAAGTGAGCGTTGGCGTGGGCGTGGCAATGGCTATAGCTATGGCAATGGCAACTACAAAAGCAATTGCAGCTGCATTTTAATGCATTTTCATTGCAGCTGTTGAGGTGGGTGAAGCAACAGAAACAACGACAAGACGGCAAAGTTGCAACTGCCACAACTGAGCGCACCGAGCGACGCCCAGGGGCCCCGCGCGTCCAATGGGCGTGGCATGGCAAGAAAGTACATCAGGAAAGTGCAGCTGCAAACGTTCGAATCCCATTTTGGCAATGGCCTCTCGGGCACATAAAACGTAGAATAACAATTGTGAATGCTGAATAGGGGCTGCTGATTTGGAGTTGGGGGCTGGGTTTGGCGATCGATCTGCAGTTAGTTCAATGAAAATTTCAAATGAGCGGAGCCGGGAGCGGAATAGCGGCTGTCATTTGGGAAATGCGAATAATGGTATTTTTGTATTCGATTAAACGATAAAAGATATCGCAATCTACAGTATTCAAGATGATAATTAAACACATGCAGTTTATTAAAAGCTAAATTTGGTTAAAGAGCATCAAAATTATGGAAAAGTTAAATTAAATGCATATACATAAATACACGACAAAAGCTTGGTTGCCCGATACAAGTCCTTGAAATGCAAAAGCATCGAGTCTCAAAGCCAATAAATAAATAACTGCCTTTATCATTTCCTCTTCTAAATATATGTATATATATATACTCGCACAAGGTTGCTTAGATGTTCTTTTGAGGAATGCTTTTCATGGCCGCATGAGAAGACATATGGAATGCACTTCTCCGAACTTGTGCATGCGTTGATTGAGTATGTATATGTGCAAGTATGATGTATATTAGTGTATGTGAGTATACATTTAAATACATATATTTACCATACGCAGCCCACCTCTGCTTAATTTTGTTGATAACGAAATAAATGAAACGTATTTTTAAATATTGTCCTACTATGCGATTCTCATGATTTCAAGTAAGATTTCTTGCTCTGATTATAATTGTTGCATAAACAAAAATTACAGATTTTTGTTGTTTCGATTATAAGTAAGATTAACAAGTTTTATTTGCTGCCTTATAAATCTTATTCCAGCGCATACTCGATCTAATTTACTTTATTTCACTTCCCCTATTTCCTTCACTCCTTTTCCATCTTCTTTCTTCTGTTTATTCTAAAAATACTTTAATATATTATCAATTTAAAAAAGAATTTATTTTAAGGTTAATCAGACCTGGGCAAAGCTTATCTTCCACTCTATAAATGCTACTTTATGAGATGTATATAAGTGTAAGCCACGACCGAGCAAAATCGGAAAATACCTGCTAGTTATTCAATACTTTAGTGTCATGTAAGAAATCGAGCTGCTAAAATCTGTAATTGATTGACAACTTTTTTTGCAATTCCCGGCTATTCTATCTATAAGCTGATGTGACAAATGCCCTTCCAAAAGTGTCCATTATATCTTAAGCTGCTGCTACTACGATTCCTTGTGTTGGGTAAATCAGCTAGTTGTATCAAATGCAACCAGTACCAGTCCTCGCTCGATTACGTGAATCGGAAATACAGCGTTGGCGACTTGCAAGTGGCAGGGCAGCCGCAACTGAACCTAGTATAGGAGCTGAAGCTGGAGCTGGAGCTGGTGACAGGCGCGACCGTGAGCATAGATAAATCGTTGGTAAATTTTATATAATCTAATAAAAAATTTATGGCTTTAGAGGACGCATTGAGGCTGCCAACTGGCAATAAATACCAACAGGCGCTTGCCTTCCCGTCTGGGTCGCAGCTACAGCTACAGCACAGCCTCAGTCTCAGTCTCAGCTTCAGCGTGAAGCTCAGTCGAGCGGATTCTTCTGCTGCCTGGAGCACTTTAAGCCATGTGTGTGTGTGTGTGTGTATTTAACTGTATCGACGCGTATGTTACTACTGCCAATCCGTTGAAAAGCGCTTGCCAATAAATGATGAGACATCGGCAATGGCGAAAGAGCAGCAGCAACATTGCAACAGGGCGGCAGGGTAGGCATTGATGGGGAGTGGGTTGGTGGAAGGGTGTTGCGGGGAATAGCAACAGCAGCAGCAGCAGCTCCAGAGCATTAGCTCGTTTTTTATGCAGCTCTGAGCTTAATGAAATGAGTTTGTCGAACTTATTGCTTACTGAGGCATGCAACATGCCTGGCATGCTGGCATGTGATACAGAAAGAGATACAGTGCAACTACTAGATAGAGAAAGGGAGAGCGAGAGTGTGTGTGAGTGAGTTTGGAAGCCATATGACAGAGCAGGCAATTTATTTACATATAAGTGACAGACCCAGACACAGACAGCGCGACAGCGAGCAAGAGAGCTAAATTCAATTTTCTTTGGCGATATTAATTTTGTAGGCATTAATATCAGCTGCGGTGCGCTCTTTAGTTTGCCAGACTTGAAGCTTTTCTTATTTTTATTTCAAATTTATGCTCTCCACTACACATACTAATATCTTGACAAGCTCTCAAGGCGTACTTCTACGCATCGTGTTGTCCCATGGTATCTAAGCGATCTCAAATTGTGTCCAATAGTTTTACAAGCACTGCACAATTAAGTGGGCCGCGGGCCATTGGCAAGTCAATCAGCCAATCAACCATGGCCCTGACCAACTTGGCTTCAGCTCTGGCCTCAGGTTAGAGGTTAGGGGGGCGGGCTGAGGCTGGGCTGAGAGTGTGGCCTCTTAGAAAACTTAAATGCCATTGTTATATGCGCTCGGGCACAAACTTTTGCCAGGCGTTGCCGCTTGTTATCTGCTGAAACTTACACAATTGGACAAGCGATTGCCCCAACCATTGTTCAGTCTGCCAGCGCCCTCGCACCCTAGCAGCCTATCACCCGCAACCCGCAACCCCTTTAAGCGAACGTAAACAGTTTCAAATTACAACAACCAACTTTGTACTATTAACAAATTGGCACGAAGTCTGCTTTAAGGCGCCGGCAGCCGCATTGTTCGCCGGCTGCTTAAAATGTTAGCCAAGGAAATATTTATTTATGAGTAAACTTGTCTGATCCAAGCACCGCTGCCCCCTCTCCAACCCCTGTCATGTGTGTGCGTGTGTGAGGGCGAAACGTTAATGTTTTTATTACTGAAACTGAAGTTGAAGCCGAAGTCGTGAAGGAAGCGAACTTTATGCGCCGTTTTATGCGAGTTCGCTTTCCAACACCTCTCGTCCCTCGACCCACACTACTGATGACTGTTTTCCTGATAATGATAAAGCTTGAATTGGGACATGTGTGTGTGCGTTTTTGTGTGGCTGGGGCGTGGCCAGAGCTTAAGCAGTTTCGCCTGATTGCCTCGTTCGCTCTGATATTGACTTTAAAAATACATACATTTATATGTTAGCATGCATGTATATAGAATCGTCCTTATTTTGTCGGCATGTGGAGTCTGCATGTGTGTGCGTGTGTGTGAGTTTTTTTTAATGCGCTGTCTGTAGGCTGGCAGGAGGCGTGTCCGGGGCAAGCAGCTGCTCCACAAAACGTTTTCAGCTGCCCGAAATGGGCAATCAAGCGAAATGTGCCAAGCGGTTTGGGGCAATATCTGTCGCTCTGGCTCTGCTGCTGGCGCTGCGGCTGGTATTGGAGACTGCTGCCAAAGTCTCGGGCTGGGTGCCTGGATACCGCTGAGAGGCGACACAAATCAATGGCAAAGAACTCCGGCAATGAGCATTGGATATGACATCGACAACGAGCACCATGCCCGTCAGATTTGAGCAGTCACTCAACGGCGGGCGCCATCTGTCGGGCATATGGGGACACTCACACACACACACACAAACATACACACATATGTGAATTCTAGTCGGGTTAATGCCTGCTGCCTCCATGTAGGCCCCTTACCCAGGCAAACCACTTGAGCCACACTGAAGAGGCACTCAACCACGACAGAAGGCACACTGCAACAAAGAAGTACAAAATTCAGAGAGGGAGAGAGAGAGAGAGAGATAAAGAGAGAGATAAAAAGAGGAAGAGAGAGAGAAAGAGAGAGAGAGAGAGTGAGCAAGCAATTTGACGCAACTGCAAGTGCCACAATTTGGGTAAGCGAAATCGCTCAGCAAAAACGCCTGGCACTAGTGAAATGCTTTAACTGCCAAAACGCTGATCGAAACCAAAACCCCAATGCCATGATGAAATTTGCAAAACTATTGCCATTTGCCAGCCACACACGGACACAGCAAGCCCAGAGCACACACACCGCACACTCGCACAATGGCAGCCTTTAGCTGGCAGTTTTTTAAATTTTTTTAATTTCAATAAATTTTAAAATGTTCTTGTGCCTCACGGGGCATGCGGATGTGTGTGTGTGGGTGTCTGCGCCTGCCCTGCACTTTACCATTGAAGTTGAGTCAGCTGCGGCTGCAGATGGAATTTGTCAATGGACTAAACTGGTGCAATTATGGTAAAAAAGAAAAGAGACCGACCACAAGAAAGAATGAAACGTCATGCCCTTTTATGCCATTGCAAATGGAATTTCAGCAGAATGTAAATACTTAAGCTTATGCGTATTGCGCGTTAATGCGTCATGTGAAATAATCGATTTAATTGATTGATTGTCATCCACAGTAATTATCGCAGCCGGCATTTAATGAGCAACTCTCGTGTGTCAGCGCATTAGTGAAGTTTGTCTTACAAATCAATTCTTTTTTTTTAAATGTTATCGATCGTCTTTCGATAACATGTCGATTTTGATGGCAAATTTTTATATTTAGAAAATCGATAGCTGGGTCTTAGACTAAATAGCGACTAGCTTATTAATTATTATCGATAATTATCGATAGTTCTGCAACAAACCGGAGTATACATTATCATATTATCGAGTTGCAACAGCAGAGGCTTTTTTATTCCCAAAAGTTATTTGCTTGTGATTTTCATTTTGTGTCAAGCGACAAATAATCGATAGTTTTAACTTGCAAATCCACGTGGCTGCTGTCTGTTTTTGAATGCAAAGTAAGCGACTAAACATGCCGAAATATGCGTAAACTTTATAAAATTGCTTTACAACACACCAAACTATCTAACTACACACACACACACACGCACAAGCACGCACACACACGCACATGCAGTCAGGCGTAGACTAGACTTTAAATTGGGTTCTGTTGCTTATTACAAATGCAACGAAAACTCAACTAAAAAGTTTATTGTTTGGCATTTGCATAAAACGCAAAGCCAGATGCGTTAGCTACATCATTTGACAGCAGCCGCATGCAGCATGCGGCATGCTTAATCAGTCAGTCAGTCGGTGGGTCAGTCAATCAGTCAGTCAGTCAGTCACTTGATTGTCGAGTTTGTTGATCTATTGACAATCGCGCTGGTTTCTGGTCACGCCAATGTCTATATCAAATGCATAGCCCATGCTTTACATGAATCCACACAACACACACACGCACCCACAATAGCCCACACACGCACACACACACACACACATCCACACACATCAATCGGTCAGACACAACACAATCAGTGTCTGAAAATCAATGCTTGGCAATGCGAAGGCAGCAAAAAAAAACATACTGAAAATATATGTTGAGGCAAGTTTGACGTTTACTGGTTGCTGGTTGCTGCCTGCTTGTTGCCATTGCCATTGCCACGCCCATTCATGTGGCAAGCACGTCAACGATGGCGGGCAAAAAGTCAAATGGATTGAATACATATTGAGTTTATGATGTTGTCGCTGGCAATTTTCGTTGGCTTTAAGCGGTTAGCGCGCTCGCCTGTCGCTTTGTGCTGGTTGCGTATACGCAACGTGGCCCTTCGCCCCTACGCACTGTATGCGTGTGCGTGCGAGTGAGTCTCGGTGTCTGTGTGTGTGTGTCTGTGTGTGTGTGTGTGCTGTCGATTATATGCCTCACAGAGCTGCCAACACAGGCAGCGAGCACGCTTCAACGCAGCGGCCGCGTTTTGTTAGCAGCGTGCCTCTTGTTGTTGCTGTTGTTGTTATTGTGGTTGTTGTTGCTGTTGTTGTTATGCGCATGTGTTTATGGACTGAGGCAGTAAATTGAATTTTGCCCACA